AGGGATTTACTTGCGGTTCAATTTTATGAAAAAATACCGCATTTAACTATTTAAGTATTTCAAACTGGAGAGTGACTTAGTGACCACCCAACTGGAGAGGGTAAGAGAGGGATCTAAGGTGGGGGCACATGGGTCAGGCTGGAGTGGGGGTGTGGAAGGAGTTAATGGAGAAGGTTCGGGGGTAAGAATCATCAATTTATGAACGGGGCACCGAAAAGCTTTGAATGAGTAACGTGATCATCGTTTAACACTGAATACAAATGAGGTTGTTGGCGATTGGAGCAAGGACGGTGAGTTTCTTTTTTTCTCCTTTTCAACAGTTTCCTGCTTCTCTATCGCTTTTCATGCTCTCGATCTGTAGAAAAAAATGCAGGCAAATGTAACTTTCTCGTTTTTCGATCACGCATATGATATCTTTTGTGAGCGTGTATTGTGTTTCAGAACTACAACCGCCCTGAACGTGTAACGTGTCAATGCCTAATATTGAGAGTGTATTGTGTGTATTAATACTGCGACCAATATTTAGGTGCAAAAATTTAGCCTTATTTACTCCGCACATATTCACTTTTTATTCAAGTTCTGTTTACGTGGATTTTGCTAATAAAATAAATTTCTTTGAAACATTAATGGAGTATAACTTTTAGGAACGACTAGGAATAAAAAAGCACCATTTCCCCATTTTGTAAAATATTTGTACAGTTGACTTTAATCTATTTATCCAATAATATATTAAAATAAAGTCAATAATATTGCACAAATAAAAAAAAGTGAGTTTTTGATTGAAAGTTGTAGAAATATGTAAAAGACTAAATGGTTTTCCATTGAATATGCACAGCGTATAAATACAAGTAGGTTTGAGGCTGGTTGGGCCAAGCTCGATTACATACAAGGAAAGATACATACATAGAAATAATATACAAATATGCAAATAAAACTATATATGCTAACACTCCCCTCAAGTTGGAGCATGGAGATCACAAATGCCCAACTTGGATAGCAAGAAAGAAAAGAGAGGTCTGTTCAAAGCTTTGGTGAACAGATCAGCTAATTGCAAGCGAGTAGGCACATAAGCTGTGGTGAGCTCTCGGCGATGAACACACTCACGGATGATATGACAATCAATGTCAATATGCTTCATGCGCTCATGGAAAACAGGATTAACAGCAATAAACAGAGCAGATTTATTATCACAAAATAAGCAGGGCGTTGTTGGCACCAAGCGCACCAAGAAGACCCCGAATCCACCGGACCTCTGCACAAGCATTAGCCATAGCACGATATTCAGCTTCGGCTGAAGAACGTGACACAGTAGTCAGAGCCAATTTCCCGGGATTCGTTCAAACCCTAGGCTCGTTTTTATTGTGCCGTCGCCGGCACTATTTCGACCGGCTCACGACGGTCGCCGATCGGCTCACGTCTGTCTCCTCCACGACGCCGGCTCACGTCGGCTACATCACCAGTGCCTCACGTCATCATGGCAGCCGAAACCCCAAAGAAGGTCTGGCTCATCCACGATCCAACGTCACCCTATTACATTCACCCGTCGGAAAGCGCGGGTAATTCTCTGACAAAACATCTTCTTAAGGGTGATAATTATGATATTTGGGAGAAAACTATTGTGAACGCTCTTGAGGGGTGAAGTCGAGCAAGTTTCTTGATACCATGTAGAAATTTGTAAAAGACTGAATGATTTTCCATTGAATATGCACAGCGTATAAATACAAGTAGGTTTGAGGCTCGTTGGGCCAAGCCCGATTACATACAAGGAAAGATATATACATGGAAATAATATACAAATATGCAAATAAAACTATATATGCTAACAAAAGTGAAAAAATGTAACATTCCATCAAATTGAGTGTGTTAAATTTATTTAAACCATCAACTAAATTTTTGAAAAAAATAACTATGGATAAGGAAGAGATCGAAGAGGACCGAAAGCGTGCGAAACTTCCGCGCAAAATTCTATAGTCAATGCGACGTTACACTGCAGATATAATTTTTTACAAATGCAATCACTAACACAATTCCGTTGTAGTCTAGTTGGTCAGGATACTCGGCTCTCACCCGAGAGACCCGGGTTCAAGTCCCGGCAACGGAATAAATTTTTTCCCTGCCAATTGTATGTTTTTTCCAGAAGAAAATTGAAATCATAAAAAATCACCCTTTAAAAATTCCTCTTTTTTGGGCTGCCTCCTACAACAAAAAAAAGTTCTCATATTTTCTTTTTTTGTTTATCCTATAAAAATGTTTCACTCTTCTATATCACTTTTAATTTTATAATCCTATTTTTCTAACCCTATGTGTCAACTTAAACAGAAATATTTTTACAAGACGAAAAAATACTGTAATTTTATACTCCGTAACATTTTATCATGTTCTAAGTGTTTCTAGTATGACTATTTAGAATGAAATTTCCGCTTTCAAGATTTTTAGGGCCTGCTTGGTGGGTTTTGAAAATATAATATATGTATTTTGAAGACATGAAGAAATTATGAGTTTTGAGAGATTTAAAATCATAATTTAGTAAGTGATTAGCAGGGTCATCGACAACAGGACTGGTTGGCGGAGGCAATGGAAGCCGATGGCGGGGGATGGTTGACGTTTGTGGAATTTCCCACATTGATATCTCCCAAATTCTGGAGATATCAAGACCCTTCATTTGGAGGATTTGGGACATGTAAAAATATAGAATTTGATTATTTTTTTAATTTTTTCAACTAATTCTCATTTTTTAACTATAAATTAAAAATTAATTGCGCGTATTTTCCTTTTTATTACTAAATACTAATATCTCTTTATTATGTTTCGAAATTGATATCAAATTTATAGCATAATACCAACTTTTTTGTAGATATTATATATGGTCAACATACAAAAACATGCACAAGAACATCAAGTGATAGGAAAATTTTCCGATAGATGCATTGTTATTATTATTATTGTTATCATCATCATCAGCATCATCATCACTTCTATAATTATTGTTGTTAGTGTTATTTTTATTTATCAACGATAATAAAATGACATAATGATTGAACCAATGACAAATTAATTTTTAAAAATACCCCCCTAGTAACTAATAAGATAAGTTTTACTTACATTTACTAAGAGTGAGTTTGATTTAGGCGGTTAAGTTTTCACCCAAAACAAAAACAAAATGAAAAATTAGTTAGCGGTTCGGTTTGGTTCGTTTCACACCAAAAATATATAAACCGTTGGTGATTCAATTTGGTTTCATGCAATTTTTATTTTTGGTTTTTTTTTCAATTTTTTGGTTTTTAATAATTAAACATTTTAAGTATTACAAAAAACATTTATGCTTTTTCATTATTTTGAACTTCTTGGGAGTATCTCCGATCGAATAGAAAATGAAGGTTTAAAAGAAGAGTTATGCTTTTATAATCATAAAATTTACGTGTGAAATTTGTTCTTTCTTACATATTTTAGATGGGTTGATGATCAATTTTTCTTTTTTACAAAACCCAATACATATAACCAATTTGTATACTGAAAGTTCATAAAATGAACATTAACCTGAGGAACCCAAAAAAATTTACCTTCAAGAGAAGCTCAAGGTGTAGAAGGTCCACACAGTCCTCATACAAATTTTACCTAGATTATTTATTTTGTTTTTTTTAAATAAACCATTCTTATCTCAATCCTACGCAAGTGCTTTATTTGACTCATATGAAGATCCCTCATAGAGCTAGGATTCATGAAAGATTTTGCCTATCATGTAATGACTATAATGTTCACCTATTTATTGATTTTTAATTTCACTATTTGTTTTTATAGAATTCATGGTTACTATTTCATTTGTCCCGCAAAGAGTTTACTATTGGCCTATTGCAGTTTATGGTGATTTGTTGAAATTATTTTTAATTCATTTTATTAAAATACTGATAATATAAAAACAATTACTTCGTATATATTCAAAAATTGCTTTATCATATTAAACAAGACGTGATGAATTGACTCTTTAATACTTCCTCCCGCCACAATTTGATTACAAACTGGGGTTTACGAGAAAAAATTATTTCTCACTTTTTAAAATCATTTTATTTACAAATTGATATATCAATAAAAAAAAATAAAAATTACGTATTAAAAAACTATGTCAAAAGTTCTACAGAATTAAAAGTGACAAAAATATTTTGTAATGTCAAATACTTCATTAAATCGCGTAAATAAACCAAAGTTATCGAGAGAATAGAAAAAAATTGTAATCAGAATCGAGACGGAGGGAGTATAAAGCAATATTCGAATAAAAAGGTAACAAAAGAAAATGGATAAAGCTACTTGTACCCCAACATTTTGTACCCCACTTTTACCCCGCAGGTTTGCACCAACATTTTGCATTGGTGTAAAACTAATTTTTGTTTAACGCACAAACACTTTGTGTCCGTTTAAATTTTTTGTTAACGCACCAACATTTGTGTCGGTGTAAACCATCAAAATGTTTGTGTATAACTACGGTGTACAAATGGGGTACAATTTATGGTGTAAATGTAGCATGGTCCTAAAAATAGTGTTGTTGAACTCTATGTACCAACCTTCGCCTAAACTTTTACTACATACCGAGTATTTTATACTCTAAAAGAAAATAGTTTTGGTTAAATTGTGACACTTTGACCACGAATTAAATATAGTTTAAAATAATTAAGTATTACGGAGTATAAAATTTGATATTTCAAAACTATATTTTAAAATAAACCCAATTTCACTAAATTTACATTATACTCCCTCCGTCCGGAAATAAAGTTTACATTTCTCCTTTTTCTCTGTCCGAAAATAAAGTTTACATTTCTAATTTTAGCCCACACTCTTCCAAAACTACCCTTCTCTACCTTTCTTTCTTTCTCTTCTTTTTTTCCTTATTGGTCCTTTCTCTTCTTCGCCACTCTTCTCTTTTTATGGAGTAAGAAAGAAGGTAGCGGAGAAAAAAAGAGAAGAAGAGGCGTTGAGAGGTGGATCGCGGAGTAAAAAGGAAAAGAAGAAAAGGGGAAAGAGAAACACATCTAGATTAAAGAAGAAGAAACAGTAGGAGGAAGAGGGAGAAAGAAGATCTAGATTTGTCTAGACGTTAGTGTCTCTACCCTCTACTGTCGCTAATTGGTGCTAGCGGTGATGGGGGCGGGTGGAGATGGTGGGATTGATAGCGGTGGTAGGGCTGGGGGTTGTGATAGGGGATGGAGGCGATTGGGGGCAGGCGCCTGGGGGGTGACGGGAGTGCTCGCAGAGATCGAGTTGCGGCTGCGGCGGCGAGGGCTGTTCTTGCGGTGGTGATAGAGTATTCTTGCTGCTGCGGCTAGTGATGACAACGGGTCGAGTTCGGTCGGGTTTGAGTATCTTGAAACCCGACTCGACTTAGGTCGGGTTCGGGTTTGATTTTGGCGAGTCGATTTCGGATGTTATTTTTTCGGTTTCGGTTTCGGTTCATGATTCGGTCGGGTCGGTTACGGTCAACTTCGGATTTGAATACTAATAAAAGTTTTCATGAAAATTTTAAGATTGAAATTCATTATAAATTTAAAATTTTAAAGACGACTATAAATTTAAGATATTAACAAAAATAATTATGACTCTTAAAAAAATAAATAGTAAGTTTCAAATAATAATATACGAATTACAAAGAAAATAATATATGTATGACACAAAAGATTAAACCACAATAAAAATGAAACGCAAAAAGTGTAATAAGTTTTAAAACATAAAAAATATGTACATTAAAAATACATGGAATATAGGAATTTAGGGTTTTAATAACATATTAAAAGTCGGGTACATGTCGGGTCGGGTCGGGTACGGGTCGGGTCGGTCAAATATACTAACCCCAACCCGACCCGAAAAAAGTCGGGTTCGGTTTAAATTTTTTCGGGTCGGTTTCGGATATTTGATTTTTCGGTTTGGATTCGGATATTACAAGCTCCGGTCGGGTCGGTAAAAGTCGGATTCGGGTAGAATTGCCATCCCTAGCTGCGGCTATTAGAATCCGATATGGTTAAACGACATTAGATCTAGCTGATGCATTTGCTATTGCTCAAGTGCCCTGAACATTCCAGCCCACACGCCCCTTTCTTTATCTCTCCCTTCTTTTTTTATTAAGGGTATTTTGGTCATTTCACAGGGTTAGTCAACCTCTCTTAAAAATGACCAAAAGTCAAAACGTAAACTTTAATGCCAGACGGATGGAGTAACTAAATAGTCTTTTCATAATTTAGGGCCAAAGGGTGTCACAGTTTGATCAAAAAAGTCAAATTGTGACAATCTTTTAGGAATTATCTTACAGCAATGATTTTAAACTCGGACCAGAGATCGACCCGACAGGGAGAACGGGTCCTAGGTCAATCCGGTTTTTTCCATGGTTTCCGGGTTTTGAGGGGTTGGACCGGACCAGTTGTATATGTCCGGGTCGCAGTTCGACCGGTTGAATCATCCAATCGGGTCCGGGTTTAATAACATTGCTTACAAGTTCGATGTATTATATTGCTCCGCCACTTATTAGCATGTATGGGATTACAGTAAGTTGTAGGAATCTGTAAACATCATCACAGTGCATGTGCATGCATGCATTCTATTGTCACAAATTAATATAGGCGAATTTTCTTAAATAACACTAAAAGATAATGATTTTTCTTAAATAGCATCATATATGTTTTTTTCAAATCTAGCACTTTTAGTCATTATGCATTAGTCATTATTCAAGTAAGTATTCGTCATCACCAAAAATTATTAAATGTTATTTAGGGAAGAAAACATTTTAAGGGCTATTTAGAAAAATGACTTAAGTTTTAGTACTATTTAGTGCAAATATTTCATTAATATAACTACGTACTTAGCTTATGCTCATAATTAACTTTATGTCTCCCATTAGGACTCAAATTAATATAATCCCATATTATATATATGTGCATATATAGAAGCAAGTCTTGAAAGTTTGTTTGTTATAAACCTACAAGGGGAAATTTTGCAATAGCAAATGCATGCATCCAACTAGCTTGATTATAACCATACTATACCGTTGACGTTGAATGAATGAAGTTTACTTAGAATTAAATTTTGGATTAGAGAGTTTAACTAACACGCCATATATCTGTGTGTGTATGTATGCATGCATGTGTGTGAGTGTGTGTTTATATATATATATATATATATATATATATATATATATATATATATATATATATATATATATAAACACACACTCAACACATACATGCATGCATACACACAGATATATATATATATATATATATATATATATAAACACACTCACACACATACATGCATGCATACACACATACACACAGATATATATATATATATATATATTCCATATTATGTTGGCATTATTTTTTGACAAACAAATATATTTACTTAGAATTATTTTAGAAATTTTGTTTAGACTTAGAATCTTAGAGTGTGAAGAAATAGAAAGAGGAAAGAGCTTGAAAAGAAAATTCTAATCCTACTTGGTTTACTTTTCTTGAGGAGGAAGCCATGGTTGAGAATCCTAAGTACACTCTAACAAGGTTATTCTATTCCATATATTATCTTCACCTTCCCATACAGTTTTGGCGTGCGAGAGTACGAAATAACAGAAGCAGATCCGAACAAAAAGAAAGAAAGAAAGTGCACATTTTCTGGACAGCCTGCACGAATTTGACCATCGCCAAAGATCCAACCGTTGGATTTAGCTGAAATTTTCAGAGAGTGTTCCCAATACATCGGACTTCAATCTACTCAATTTTCACGTCAATCGGAGTTACGAATCTTCTATTATCACAAGTGGTGCAGCCTGCATTTTTGGGTGATATTCCTGATTTTTCCTTCTCCATTGTTGATGGTTCTTATGTATGCTGTTGTTGGTGAGCTGTAACAAGTCAAGTCATTCGTAAGTAGACAGATCAATACATTAGAAGGTTTTATTGTGATTGATTTTGTAATTCATATGATGATTTAGTGGAAGTGTTATTACACGGACGTGAGCCCCGCAGACGTAGGAGAGTTGCTCCAAACTGCGTAAACAATTCATGTGTACTGTTTACTTCTTTTACTTTATATTCTACATGTGTGCTTGTGACAGAGAAGATGTTATATCACTTTCTCTGTCATTTGTTACTATGACAGTATTGCAGTGTCTTCTCTACATTATAGTTGTTTGATCTATTTGCATAGCTTTCAATTGGTGATTTCTGCTGCACCTCACGAACTTACAATATGTGTGTGTTTTTTGGGGTTATTTTGATGTATTTGTACATTTTTATTTGTTACTCTTTCCGTCCATGAGTGTTTGTCCACTTTCATTTTTGCACACCATCCAATGCACTTCTTTAATCCATTTTATCTTGTAATTTGTATATTAAAAAATTATAAAAATTATATATTAATAATCTATATGTTAAGATGAATCAAACAAGATCACACATGACTATTTTTAGGCTTACACATTGAGAAAATTTGATGAGTCAAAGTGCTTAGATGAACAGTTCCAAAAGTCAAAAGTGGACAAACACTCTGGGACGGACCAAGTACAATGCAATAAATGTCACATTCCTCTGTATAAGGTTCATACAATTTTGTGACCTGCAGAAGAGGGTGATTATAAATGCTTATTATCCTGATGAACACTTTTTCTTGTGAAAAATGAAATAAATACGGAGTAATATTTTGGCGTAAGTCAGACCAAAAATAGTGGATCTTAGTGAAGAATGGTATAATATGCGCTTGATTAATGCAAGAGATCACCCCCACCTATATATACAAAAGAGGGATGTAAACAATGAAACAAGAATAAAAAAAGAATCTTATACAATTAAGGAAACTACTAAATATAAATAATATTAAATATGTTAAATATTTAACATGCTTCCAGCTACGTCGGCGAAGAGAAGGGACGGTAATTCTATTGTGAAGATAACATTGAACTGGAAGGAATACGGGGCATGAAGGACCCGCATGTGGCCAAGTGCTACTTTGTCCTGGACAAAATGAATATCAACCTCGACGTGTTGAGTGCACTGAAGTTGAACCAGGTTGGCAGATAAGTAAACGTACAACGTTGATGTTATCGTAGAAGAAAATGGTGATTCGGCGTAGTGGTTGATGGAGATAAGTAAACGTACAGCGCTAAGATTTTACTTTTAATAATGCGGGAGAAAAAGAATAAATTTTTATAAACATTGGGAGGGGGGTTAGTTGGAATTTTGTTTTTTCTCTAATCTTAATTAATATGGAGGAGAAAAATCATACGGAGTATTTTTTAATCATAGAATTATAAGATCGGTAATTTAGGTTTTTTTTATTAATGCGAGAGAAAAGAACTATTAGACCACTAATACTTTTTGTATTAATACATTTTTGAATTTATTCAGGGATCGCAGAGAAAAATTATAGATTTGTAGAAATGCATCAAACCTAGACCATTTATGTTTGACGTTTAAATAATATACCGCATAAAAATTAAATCATTTTAAAAGTCTACATTGTAGAATCGACAAAATTTTTGTTCGAACCCATGAATGACACGAGTAGAAATACTAGTATGTTAAATATTTAACACTTAGGTCCGCCATAACATATAGAGGAATGTGACCTTTATTTAGTCACCCTGCAAATCTTATCAATTTTGACTCCGTTCCAATGCATAACAGTACTGTTAGAGTCACTTTCCACTTCATTATATTTTTTAAAAATATATTTAGTTTTTAAATATTTATTATCTTTCAAAAATGCAGAATGTTTAATTTATTATATTAAAATAATGTACGGAGTAAAATATTTGATTTATTTTTCAAAATGTTTTAAAATAAAACTTGGAATTAAATAAACATAATCCAAATGCTAAACTTTTTTTTAACACATCTAAATGCCTAACTATATTAATCGAAATTGAATGGGCATAATGTAAACTTTAAATTGAACAAAATATTCCAACGAAAAACACGTAAACTACATAAACATAATTACAGTAAACCACATCGCCATGGAACAAGAAATAGCTCCAAATATTTCTTGCAACCTCTTTAATACTAAATGTCTACATTCATCTTCATATACCAAGACAATCCAAGACTCTATATACATCCATCCCATTAAAAATTTCATTTTTCACCAATGTATAACTTACTCCCTTCATATCCTTCTAGTTTCACTCTTTTGAGTCAAATAGAATAAATTTTAATCATCAATTACTCTTAATTAATATTGCATATCAATACAACGAAGTCAAATTTTTAAAGTTCTCAACAAGATGAATCTAATCAAATTATTTTTACATACTAAATACAGAGTATAATAAAATTTTTTTCTCTAATTGAAGTCCAAAACTCATCAAATTCAACTCGAAAAAATCAAACTGGACGAGTAAACTGGGACAAAAATAGTACTCCCTCCGTCCCACAAAACACTTCCCATTTTGACTTTTTTCGGTCAAACAGTGATACGTTTTAACTACAAATTGTGAGAAAGTATATTGCATTATAATATAAATTCAATATAATTGAATTCATCTTAGGATATAGTTTTGATATATCAAATGTTTATAACATTTTTTATTTAGATTAGGTTTAATTTATGTTTAAAGAGTGTCACTGTTTGGCCGAAAAAAAATCAAAATAAGAAATATTTTCTGGGACGGAGGGAGTATTAATTTCGATGATGTACAAGTATAGAAACTCATCACATAGAGGCATGCATGTACTCTATTTGTGTCTCTAATTAAATTCATGGTCTTTTTTATCCATCCCAAGATAAAGTTCACACTTCTTTCCCTTCTTTTTCAAGAAAGAATAGATGGCTCAAGATATTTATCTTCCAAACAAATGTATACAAGATACTTTTCAAATTTCAACAATTTTCTTAAACTCTATAAAAACAAAGAATGAATTCAATCCAAGAGCATAGAGACTAGCTTGGCCCAACAATGGGTCAGACTTAAACCCGACTTCAACATGGGTTTGTCGGCTATTTTACGAGTTCGGCCCATCGAAGATTCAAACCCAATTTAACTTTTACGACGAGTTTGGGTGTGGAAGACCCTATTCGAGATGAGACGCCATATAAAAAAACAATATATTGTTCATTTAGGAGAAAACTGAAATAAATACTTGTTTTATCCCACAAAACATTTCCTGTATTAATTTTTTGGAAGGGAAACTATTAAAGTTTGAGCAAGATCAAACGACGACAACCGAAACATGTAGGATTTGAAGGGAGCTAAAATGAGTAGGACGTAAAAACTAATTGGGAAATGTTAGCTTAGATTTAAGAAAAGTAGGGACATTTATATCTTTTTAGGCCAAATGAAAACGTTTTTTCGGACAAATAAGATGTGCAACTCGAAGCGTAATATTCACATATAGAAGTTTTAAATTTTTAAGTTATAGATTTGCAGTGACACTAAAAAACTCCATAACTTAGCATAATAGCATGAGAGTTAATATTTGGTTATTGGAGTTACATTTATGTGTAATATTCAAGTCTTCTTAAAAAGGTTACGTAAGAATAATTTTATGGTATGTTTGGGAACATGAATTTGGATTTCAAATCCGGATTTGGCTCAAATTTCATGTTTGAAAAACTCTCAAATTTTGAATTTGGATTTGAATCAAATTCTTCTCATTAATAACAAAGCTTAATTTTAAATCCATGTGCCTTCCGTTGTCATTTGAAATTCAAGATTTCAAATTTTGAAATTGAAATGAAATCCTAGTTGCCAAACACTACCTTAATTCTTTCAAAACATTGAACATTCAAGAACTTTCTTTTGTTGAGAATCTTGAGAGAGAACCCTCATTGGCCACATCTTTTTTTAATCATAAATATCAAAGGATTAGACCCACCCACAGATAAAATGACTTCCTCTTCAATACACACACTACTTGAAACCTTATGTATGCAAAAAACAATAGCAATGAATGCAGGTGTGTTCATGAATAATTTAGAAAGAAAGAACCCAAAACGCACTCTCCCTTTGTCCCTCGTACTTGTCCATTGTTGACTTTTTTTGGGTCAAAATTGGTATACTTTGACCACAAATTAAACAAAAATGATATTAGATATTGATACAAAAATAAATTTATTAGATTTATTGTATCAAATATTTTCAAAATATTATTTTATTTAATTAATATACGATAAATATTTTATTAAATTATAGGTCAAATATTGAAAACAGTTGACCAAAAAAGTCCAAATTGAACAAATACTCAGGGATGAAGGTAGTATTACATAGAGCATGTCCTTGCTCTTATCAATTTTACGACCATATCAATATTACGATCAGAGTACCATAAGTGTCTCAATTGAACTGGTGTCGGAATTTTATACTAAATGAAGTGATGTCTTTTTAGACTCCCTCAATTCTAAAATGTGCACACTTAATACTCATAAAATAATAAATTCTGCACTTTCATTTTTAAAATTTTGATTTTATTCTTTCATTGGTTAGAAACAAAAAAGAAAATTTCTCTTAGCAAGGAAATGATTATTATGCAATGATTATATGTGCATACATCGATTTCATAAATTTCATAAAGTACATGCTCTAAGTGTATATGCATTTGTAAACATGCAACAAGGAAAGATTTTTTTGTTAACTCAAGGTCTATTTTTGTGTATTTATTAACAAAATGGGAATATTGTTGTGTACATTTCTAGAAGGGATTATTAAAGGTACACGAATTAATTTTACTAAAAAGTACACGAGTTAGGTCTCGTTTGGCATCGGCATTTGACATTAGCATTAGTGTTTTGAAAAGACTATCCGACGGTAGACTTTAGCGTTAGCATTTTCAAAGTTAATCTACACCACTAAAATTTTATCTAAATCGCTAACGCTAATCGAAAACACTCTTCCCAAACAGGGAGTTAGAAAACATAAATTCTAGCTATATTTTTTAATTTATATATGTTGAGCTAACTAAATTTAAAAGGTTACTCATTTTGGACACTTATTTGAGAAAATACATTATGCTCCATACATAATGAAATTACCTAGTAGATAATACGGCTATAAAAACTTATGGAGGGTATTGAAAAAGGGGCAGAATAGTTTTGGCATGAGAAGAGGTGCCTAGATAAATGACAACAAGAAATCTAGTCCTTCATGAAACTGGTAACTGGCATTTGAATAAACTTATCATGGACTAACAATCATAGCTTCTTATATCAGCATCTCTTACTGGGTGTTATTGGTTTCTAATTTAGGAGTTTCAATTAAGACTTGGTTATTCTTATTGTATCTAGTTTTGGTTACTTCCGAAATGTGTGAAGTCACTACCCAAAACCCCCACTAGCGTAACCACTGTAACTAGCCTAAACTTTTAATCTGTACTTATTTCCTACAAAAGTTAGCAAGAAATTAAACAAAGAGTTCAAATAAACGGATCAACAAAAGAAGATTTTAAAGAGATGGAAATACTTATCTCTTCCGTGACGAAAATGAGTTTCATCCAACCTGCTAATTGATGGAAACCAAACCTTAGATCTTTCTCAACTGAGTCTTTAACATTGCATAGAATGCATGAGAAAACTTGGCACCTTATTTAACATTAACTATCATTCAAGCAGCCTAGGTTTGATAAAGCTATTCACGGTCATTCAAAGTCCAATTCAAAATTTTTGATGAACTAATAATGCAAAAGAACTTGCAGTAAATTGTGAACAAAGAGGACATTAGGTATTTCGAATACTAAGAATAACAGGTGTCTTCCCTTCGACGCAAGACAATCTTTTGCATTGACAATGAACTTTATAAACATTTGGTATTCAAAGTGATATTCAGTAATGTGATTTAATTTGACATCCAACTACTAAAGATACAAATTGCATGTATAACTGTGCATAAATTAGAGCCTGAACTAAAACCATAACCAGATAACCACCTTAGAAACACATAGAAAACAACAAAGGGAAAAGATCACTTTAAAGCAAGATAGTTCATGGATAAGTGGTCTACTAAACAGTAAAGGCTCACAAACAAAAACAGTATGATCATTTAAAAAAAACATGGCTAACAGGTAAAAGAGTAGAAAGGCTTGCTAGTTGCATAGGATAAGTTTATGAGCTTGGTACTATTTGGTGGTCTCAGGAAATGGCAAAGTTGAATAACAGGTAAGGAGTGAAGTCTTCAGGAACTGGTACTCCTAAAGAAAAATCCTCATTCATCTGGTCTTCTGGTTAGGCTGAAGGCTTCACCAAAGGGGGCAGTAGGCTGGGGCTTCAGGCTTCAGCTGTTTTGGTATGGAGGGAATTCAAAGGGGAAAGAACAGTGTCATCAGTTACATCAGAGGGAGACAGGTTAGGGTGTTAAGTAAATTGTCAAAAATATAAAATTCTGCTTCTAATTATAAAGACGTGAATACTTTAGTGTAGATAAAGGTAACAAGGCCACTCTGCAATTAGAGAATCTATGGTTTACCTGCATATCAGGAAAGAAAACTTCAGTAACCATAACTTCTTCTACGGGATTCAGAGTTTGATCCAGACAGCCTGATAACATGTTCATATTTATGAATCATCAGAAAATATAAGCAACACATTTCCAAGTATTTGAGCAAAACTGGTGAGGTTAGAGTCCAAGAGATACTCAACACAAGATTGGCAAATAGGTTCTGTAGGGATAACTCCATCCGTCCCAAAATGAAGTTTACACTTAGACTTCACGAAGTTTAACAAGTGTTAAAAAGTGAAAGGTGTGTGGTTGACATTTCTTTAGAAGAGAGAAATGACGAAATCTAAACATATGAAAACAATTAAAAACATCATCCCATAATTTTCTTTTCGCTCTCATGGATTGCACTGTTTTAATTTCGCTTGCATATTACGGCATAAAGCCAAATACAAGGATATGATTCCCTTGGCATTTTTCCCTTTCCATAGTATATTCCGCGATCCAAAATACCCTTAAAATCTACAAAAATATGCCATTTTAATCCCCCAAACTTATAATGTTTCATAATGCCAACAAATATAAGAGGACAGTAAATAGCAGTGGGAAGTGGGATGAATGATGGATATAAGTACTTACCCAGAACTACCAGAACGGCCCACGTGATACCCTTCATATGCTCCATGCCTGACGCTGCTGCTGCTGTTACTCTGCAAATAAATTAAATAGTGGAGTGATACAATTGAAAAGGGCATACACACAAGTTCAGTAAATGTAATAGTTTCAAGTAAAACAGATGATAGTAAGTTCAGGCTGGCAGAGGACTAGCATAATCATCTAGAATGTTGGCGAGAAAAAAAATGGAAAAGGAATTACATGAACACCACCATAATGTCGGTAACTATCACTATAGTGTGGAGGATCATTCAGTCCACCATAATCGCCAGGATAAGAATGTCCATGTCTTCTAGAATCTTTGCTTTCATACTTTATGCTACGTGAAGGATCATCTGCTGACATTGGAAGATATGGAAGAACAGGCACAACGGCAGATACAGCACCTTCTCTTCCAAAGAGATTTGCTCTCAACCGTGAGGTGACTTGTAAGAGTGCATCCTTTGACACATTTAGATCTCCAGATATCTAGGAAATGAAATAGTGAGAAGTATATCATCAGTATAACCCATTAGAATCAGTAGAAATGAGAGAGAGAGAGAAGAGTAATATCTGAATGGATCAGTATATCAAAAAAGCCCCACAGGATGCATGACACAAAATCAAGGTGAGAACTGCATATTAATGGATTATATATTTTGGATAAGTAAAACCTGTGATGTATACCTCTGACCCCTCAAAAAAGGATTCGTGTTTGACCATTGTAGAAGTTTAAAATTTTGGAAAGGTTTAAGTGACATGGATAAAAAATGATACTAGCATTTTGTTAACTTTATTGGTTGGTTTGGCTAAATTTATCATGTGTAACTTGCCAGTGACTCTTTTTTTGATAACCTTTTGACAAACTAGGTGTCAAATACTCCGTAACTGGAATTGGATTCAATATAACGACTCTTTTGTAGACAAAAATGTGTTTGGAACATGACTCTTATTATTTTGGGATGGAGGGAGTGATTTATAATCACACCTACCAGCACCATCTCGTCATCTTCAGCAGCCACCTTGGGAAGGTGTTCCTTTGAGAGTATACGAATGTTAGCTTTGGTCATTCTCCTCATCTCGTTGATTATAGAGCCTCCCTTTCCAAGAAGGCAGCCTATGCGAGAGGTGGGTACAAGCAAGCGGGTGGTGAATGAAATAAGGCCAGAGTCTCTTTCACTTTGTTCACTACACCTTGGTTGCAACCGCACTGCTGCTTCAACTGTTGGTGAGTATGTATCTTCAAAAAACTGTCAAAAACAATTGTAGAAAACATATATGTCATGGACTTACAGTGACCAAACAAAAAAGGATTCTTTGACAACGAACTTTGGCAAAACATCCACATTGAGCACCATGCATTTGTTTGGATCTCAGAAAATGTTAGTGAAGGAAATGCTATTTCTATGTTTGACTTTAGCTAGAAGGCTAGGACGAAGTCAATGAAAATAAAATATGATTAGTTTCTTCTGAAACTGGATCATTAGTTTAGATTTTTTTTAGTCTTTTTATGATAAAATGACTGGCTGAAATGAGTTTAACTAAATATCACAAATAAATTAATTGAGTTTTAGCATATCTTGTATTTTCCTCTAGCTTCCCCCCCCCCCCGTAATTTCCTCACTAGTTCCCCCCTTATTTTCTTTCCCCGTTTCTCCAAGTCCCGAACAGACACTAATCTTACTTCTTTAGCTGAAATAGTTATAAGGCAATCATCTCCTTCTGCAGCTGCACTGTCAACTTTGATGAGTGCACGGGATTCCTCTCTAATCTGTTTGATTATGACCCCTCCTTTCCCAATTACACCTCCGATATTCGCATTGGGACAAATTAGACAAAGAGAGAACTCCTTTGCATGTGATTGATCCCTGGGAGTAGTGTAAAGAGCCCGTGACCAGTCTCCACTCTCACCTCCTCTATAACCACCATAAGGACCCACAAGTGGAGCTAATCCAACTAACGGAGCGCCAGTAAGTGAACCACCACCTGAAGGGTAAGCTGATGAAGAAGCAGATGCTAAGGTGTGTTGAGAACGCGATGGATTATCATGAAGGCGAGCTGATATCTTATATAGAGCCTTCTTCACAACATGAGTGTCGCCCGATATCTGAAAACTCAATAAACAAAAAATAGATTGTCAATGAAGCACTATGCTGATTGAATGTGGCCTTGAACTTAATTAAAAACAGTTAGAAAGAAGAAATTACTTCATCTGTCCCAAAGAAGAGTAGGGTTTCAAAAAAATCTATTTTGTCCCAACAAAAATGTCATATTTCCTAAAATGGAGCAAGTTTTTCATGTAAGTTCCAAAGTAAGTAACAAACAAGTTCACTTTATAATACATTTAGGTACACTAAAAAACTATTTAATTTAGGGAAAAAACACTAAAATTTTCAAATGTGAGTTGGATTCCATGACTTATAAGAGATGTACCTTTCCAAAGATAAAGATGTTCATTAACAAACCAATACTTCTTGGGGGGGTAGTTCTCATCAGAAATTACAAGACCAGAGTGAGACAATGGAATAACCTTTGACGGCACAATACACATACCTGCACAAGCTCATCCGAAGTCAGTGCACAAGCAGGCAGATGGTTATCCTTCAAGATTCGAATTTGTGCGCCCGTTTCACTACGAAGATCCTGAACTATCTGCCCACCTTTCCCAATAATACATCCAATCTGATCAGATGGCACAAGCAGCCTAGCAGTCACGCGTGGGNAAACCAATACTTCTTGGGGGGGTAGTTCTCATCAGAAATTACAAGACCAGAGTGAGACAATGGAATAACCTTTGACGGCACAATACACATACCTGCACAAGCTCATCCGAAGTCAGTGCACAAGCAGGCAGATGGTTATCCTTCAAGATTCGAATTTGTGCGCCCGTTTCACTACGAAGATCCTGAACTATCTGCCCACCTTTCCCAATAATACATCCAATCTGATCAGATGGCACAAGCAGCCTAGCAGTCACGCGTGGGCCATCTTCAGATTCCTCATCTGCTGACAAGTCCTCGCCTACAATTCTGTCATGGACCTTGAAGAGGGCATCCTGTGCAGGACACACCCGATCTTCGGTTCCTTCGAAATCGTTTGTTTCCTCGCTTGAGCTGTAGATAGTGACAACACGCTCGTCGCAATCACGGACCGTCTCGCCAATCCTAATCTTCGATTTAGTGTCAGCCCTTAATTGCTTCACTATCTCCCCTCCCCTTCCAATTATACTTCCTATGTTCTTTCCAGGACACAGGTAGCGATATACAGTGTCTTTAGGGTCAATTGAAAAATGTTCCTTTCCACCGCCGCCACCGCCTCCACCGCCAGAATTTCTTCTTTTGCTTGTTCCGTTATCAGCGTGTTCAGAATTAGAATGAGAACGTTTTCCATGGCCACTCCTTTGACCACCCATACTGGAATCATCATCCAGATATGTCATTATAATTCAGAAACTTAACCATAAAAACTCAAAAACCAGCTATAGTCATCAATATACACATCTCAAATACAATTCGCCAACTGCATAAAATGGTGCTAAAAATTACGGATTTCATCAAATTACTTGTGAAGAAATGGTAAGGATTAATTCACTCTGGGAGGAAAAACGTGATGGAGTTTACCTCGGGTTCAGGCGAGCTCGGATCTGAGGGTTCCGGAGAACTCTGAAAGCACTGGCGATTTTAGACCTGGAATTGATTTTCTTCTATTGAATGAGACGACTTTTGTTTGCCCGGTTTGGGCCGGGCCTGATAAGGGTCCGTTTTGTGATTATGTGATATACTCTCTCCCTCCCAAGTTATAATGTTTGTCCACTATTGGGTCAAATTTTATCGTTTTCTTTTTCAATTTTCATTAGCAATTTAATAAAATAAAGTACTATTGTCAGTGTTAGTTTTGTAAATCTTTTGATGTAGTATTTTAATATGTACGGAGTAATTTTTATTTTTTAACTCTATACCATTTGTCAAATAAAATGATTTGAAAATAATTTCAGTCAAACATCGTAAAACGAAACAGGCGTTATAAAATGGAACGGAAGGAATACTACTCAATAAATATCTCTTATCTATTATCCTTATCTCTATCTCTATCTCTATCTTTATCTCTTCGCTATATATACAATGCTAGGAGGCTAAAATGAATAGTGTTCCTGTCGAAAGTTAATGGGCCGGGTCGGACGTGATGGGCTGGGTACTTTGTTGGGCTTCTATTTTGGGTTTGATGGAATTGATTAAGCCTACTATTTAGGCCGGCGATAAGACTATTAAATGGTGTGTATTATTGGGCTACTTTTTTTTGTTTTGGTGCTAATGATGAAAATTACTTTTTTGGGTAGCGTGTGCACGGTAATTAAATGCCTTTCACTACTTTTTAGGAGGCTAATTTACTTTTGGTCATTTAATGCTTTAGATTGAACAAATCTTATAGTACTTGACCATTTAATGCAATAGATTCTCTCTCCTCTACTAACTCATGTATTTATACGAAGCAAGGGAGCTTTGCTCAAACACCCACTTCCAACCAATTGTGTACTATATCGCTTACCAACATATCCAAAAAGCCACAACATTGATCATGGTCGCACAACATGGGTGCTTAAGTTACGAGCTATACGCGTTTACCATGTTCTGGCTTGAGTTAAAGACAGAGATTCCATGGAAGTCATCTTTCATAACAAACGCATAAATTCTTAATATAGTGTATTAAACATTATTTACTTAGTTACGAAACTCATTTCTAATTATTTTCTTTTTTTTACAGAGGACGAGGATTACACTCCTAAAAGAAAATTAAATGAGAAAAGCTAATGTAGCTCTAAATTGCAATACGAATGTTGTGGGGATGACACTACCACACCCAATAGCCTAACCAAACAAGAAATGATCATAAATAGGAGTAAAAAAATAGAATCTCTATATCTTTATTTTAAAAATATATATTTTAATTTTTATTTCAAAAATAAAAATTTAAAACTTTACTCTTTTTTTTTAAACAAAAAAACAAATGCTTTGGGTTAAGGAGGGACTGAGGTAGGGACTATGGAGCATCATATAAAGCCACACGCGCTAATTCTCATCCCAGAGGGGATACTCAAGACCTAGTTCCATCGGAAATTCAAAAAATTCGGCGCCGCCGCCGTCTGGTCATCCTATAGCATTAGCCGATTCGAAGCTCTGATCGATTGATGTCGACGTCCGGGCAACCACAATTTCGGTACACACAGACACCTTCCAAGGTTCTCCACCTGCGGAATCTCCCATGGGAGTGCATCGAAGAAGAGCTAATCGAGCTGTGCAAACCCTTTGGGCAGATCGTCAACACCAAGTGCAACGTCGGCTCCAACCGCAACCAAGCATTTGTCGAGTTTGTAAGTTATCTTTTTCTGTATCAGAGTTAATATATGCTACCATTGCAGGGTTAGTCCTTTTGTAGTTCTGGATTAGCTTATTCATTCAGATTTAGGCTTTGTTTGACATTAGCTTTGGCGTTTACCTTCAACTTTTTGAAAATATTATTCAACAAAAAGCTTTTAAAATGATTAGATATGTTGTTCCTAAAACAAGCTTTAGATTAGTAAAGCTAAATGGCAAAAAAATCAATGTATCATCTAAAATTTTAGCTTATTATTATAGCGTTTATCCCATCAACCTGTTTTATCTTGCTAAAGGTGTGTGTTTGAATTATTGAACAACTTATTCTATCAAACCAAGTGCATTTTATATCATAATAGACCAGTCAGGTTTTTTTTTTTGTTATTTGGAGTGATGAAATAGATGCAACTTGACTCACCACCACCATAATAAGTTAATAACCATTATCAACCACATTGGGGCATATTGTATGCACTTCTTTTCAATTAATAGCCTAAATTTAGGCAATAGTACAAATTCATTTTTTGTTTGAAACCAAACACTACAAATTCGTAGTTAGCAATGGAATGGAGATTCCACCCATTGCATTAGGTTTTGGATTTCATACCATTTCATAACATTAAACCAAACATAGCCTTAGTTAACACTAGTGTTTAAAGAGGTGTTTTCAATATGTGAGATGAGGTGTAAGCCTCCAGAGTCAAGGCCTCAAATTTTATATAGAATATCTGTTAGAAACCATAGTTACTCACACTCATAAACATAATATCAATCATACATAGAAAAAAAAAACAGGGTGTGGTTTATTGTCCTAAAAAACTACATAAAGTTAAACTCTTCAAAGAAATTTTTTAAAGATTTTTTTACCCTAAAAAAAAAGAAGTTCTTAAATGAGAAAACAAGATGGTGTATTTTGAATAACAGGATTATAGAAAACTTGCTATCTTGTGTTGTTAGTTTTGAAATCAAAAGAAAATATGAGGATTGAAGATGTAGTCGTTTGAATTTCACTGTATAAGAGGAAAGGAGAATAGCACTAGTAGCCACTAGATGGTCGGGAGAGCCATGTACTTTATAGGCTATGGAATTTGTTAACATTATAAGTATAGTTGTGTGAGCTGTGAAGATAATTGTTGATTTATGCACGTAGTTTTTAGGGCTTTTATTGGGGTAGTGACAAAAAATCAAAATAATAGACCTATAATAGTTTATTTTATCTAAGAACAATAATTTTCTGCCAAAACTTAAAGCAAGAAATTTGAAGCGTAAGCCTCACAAGTCACACCATGCCTTAACCATCTTAGGGTTATGCCTTAATTCATTAACTTTTTTCACTTTAAGCTTAAGCCTGTAACGGCTGTAAGCCACAATGTTTTTTCATCACCTCACACTAAGGCTTGCCTCAAGGAGTAAACGTGTGACTTAAAATGCTTTTTAAAACCATGGTTAACATTAAAACATCACAGAAATGCATGCTGCTAACATTTTATGTATGATATCCTTTGTGTCACAAATTTCTCAGAAAGGAACAATGAGTTGAAATTCTAAAACCGTAAAATGATATTAGGTAAATATAGTTTATAATTTATTGTAGTCATGTCTCAATTCAAAACTTATATAGCAACATCAACATTTAACATGCATATGATGCTCTTATGCACCTAAATTCTTAATTTTAAGAATGCATGGTATAATGGATGTAGTTGAGGCATCTTTAATTATCTTATAAACTTCTATGGAGAGGCTTTAGATTATCTTAACATGAACATGGATTTTGGTTCTAGTATATGTAATCTCTCTCTTTCGATATAATTGTTCTTTAGGCTTAAATTTAACTCACTTATTATGGGAGCATATTTTTTTCTTAAATTTAGATTTACTAGTGTAATACAACCAGAACACCTCACTTTAATTCTTTAAAGAAATTAAAGTAATACTCCATCTGTCCTGCTGGTTTCTTTAGATTTACTATTTATTGGTCAAATTGAATCTTCTTTCTTTACTTATGATCATCTATCATTTGATAACATAATAGTCATGTCACCTAAGGTTGTTAAACTTGAGATCCTAGCTAGGATCGGGGGTGGGGGGGGGGGGGGGTT